CAGAGAGTGGGAGCAGTTGTGGCTTGTGCTGGTGACAGATGAAGCTGTCCCTGTCTGATATGGCCCAGTCACCCCTTGCAGTGGCTCCTTGTCACCCTGTCTGCCACCATCCAGATATCTCAGTACACTCACAGGGTTCATCCAGCAACCCAGGCACCTCCTGCAGTGCCTGAGAGCCATCTGCACCCATTACACCAGTGTGAAGGTGGGTCTGAGATGTCGGCCCCCCCTCCAGGACCTTGTTGCTTCCCCCAAAAACACCACATCCTGCTTCACGGGATGAAGACAGAGGAAGGATGAACAGAAAAATGGGACCAATCTGGTACTGTTTGGTGGCAAACCAGAGGATGGGTTTAGCTTGAGCTAAATGCCCTTTGCACCTCTTGTGCCGACAGCTGTGTCCCGTCCTTCCCCGTGAGTCACTGCCTGGGTGGGGTTACTGGGCAGGCGAAACCGGGAGAACCTGCCCCGTCCAGAGGCTCAGCTCCACCCCCTCCCTCAGCCGGGGCATCCGGAGGCTCCTTTCGCATCTCCCGTCAGAAAGCCACGGTCAGCCCCTCATCCCTCAGCCGGGATGAGTTCCACAGCAATGCCCAGTGTGCAGGAGGATACTCCCAGCAGGGCAGACCCCAGCCCTGTGTTGGGACCTGTGGCAGCACCGAGGGAGCTGAATCCTCTGTGGAAGGAGCTTGATGCAAGTCCCTCAGCACTGCAAAACCCAGCAGGACGATGGGAAGCTTTGCAGACCCCAGGGCATGAGGAGCAGCTGCCATACTCCCCACAAGGGATGGGAGTGTGATCCCAGGTTTATCGCTGCACCCAGTGAACCCCTCTGAACTCCAGCTGGTGAAATGCACTTCCTGGACCCAAATATCCCTGTTTTGGGGCTGTCTCTGCCCAAGCATGTGAGAAATCTCTGCGGTACATCTGCTTTCCACCCACTGCGCCCTCCTTGGTGGGATGCACTGGTACCCCAACCCTGCAGTGTGACGTTCCCCCTCTGTTTAACTTTGGAGTCTGGTCCAGAGCTGGATGCTGTGACAGGCTCTGCAGCCTAGACTGAGTGTGGTGACATCCTGTGCCACCCCCTCAGCAGCACCTGGGAACCACAGAGCCACTCTGCACCCACGGGCACGGGGGTACTCACGGGGGTGCTGGAAACCCGAGTCCTGGTTTCTCCGGCTGCAGTTCAGCTGCGGGGAACAGAGGCTGGAGCTGCTCTCTGGGCTGTACCGGACAAAGGTGGCGAAGAGGAGGATGTTGAGGATTTGGAGGAGGAAGCACAGCCCGGAGAGCCGCAGCCTTGAGGCAGCTTTGTGCTCAGGCATGTCCAGGGGGCAGCCAGGGCAGGGGAAAGCCCTGCAAATGGGGGGACACGAGGAGAGCCACGCTGGGGCTGCAAACTCCGCCTGCCAAAGCCGCTGCCAGGTCCTGCCCTCGCCTCCCGCGCTTCCCACGGTTGGAAGAGGCTGCCGGGAGTGGGACGGCACTGCCAACACGGAAACTCTGGGCTGGCTTCCCTGGCACGCCTCCACACCCGGCTTTGCCACGCCGGGTGGCTCAGGCTGCTGTGCCGGGAAGTACGTGGGGTGTGTGGTGTCAGTGGTATCAGTGTCCCTCCCTGCCGGGTCCAAGGGGGTCGGAGGAGGACCTGGGGGGCAGCAGGAGCTGTGCTGGGGTCTGGATGTTCAGCATTCGAGAAACGTTACAGTTCTGGGGACTAGGTCAGGGAGAGGAGCTGGGACTGACCTGCTGCAGAGGTGCTGGGCTTGACAAAGCTCAGCAAAGCCAGGGTCAAACTCCCTGTTCAGAGGGAAAAATGGTGGTTTGTGGGGGGCTTTGGGGAGGAGGTTCCCTGTGAGGGGAGGAGGAGAATCTACCCTTTGAAAAACAAGGGCAAGGAGCTGAATCAGAGGCTGCTGAACCTGCACCAGGAACTGGGGGAGCCAAGCACAAGGGTTTCCTTCAATTTTCTTTGATGGCTTCTGCTTTTGCAGAGGGGTTTGTGATACACCAAGAGCCAGTGCAGATCCCAAAAAAGGAGAGTAAGAAAGAAGGAGCCAAGAAGTAAAACACAGTGTGTGTTTGGGAAGTGACTTGAGTAACTCATTTCCACAGCGTTGGGCCAAACTATGATCTCAGATAAGCAGCGTCGAGCTGGGGTCATGCCCTGATGCCAGTGGGATGGGGAAAGGGGATGAGTCACTTTTGCAGGCCCCTGCAAGTATCCTGCTTTGGGCTGTGGTTTTGTGAGAGCCAAGGGCTGTAGCTGTTGCCTTCACTTGGGAGAAATGTGAGAAACACTCAACTTGTTTGTGGTACTGTGGAGCTGGGAATCAGCATCCTCCAGCCAAGGAGCCTGGGCTGCTGCTGGGAGGGATCAGGATCTGCTTCTGCAGCCGTGGGCATGGGAAGTGTGATGGAGGGAGATCACGGGCTCTCCGAAGAGCCATGGAGCCACCAGATAACTGTGGGGAGCTGCAGGGGAGGAGCTGCCAGTGCTGCTGTGGTTTAGCCTTCCTCTAAAGCCATGGCCACCTTTTACTCACCAAAATGAGCCAAAGCTCTGACCCTTCTGACCTGGGAGAAGCTCGACGGCTTCCAATTCAGCCTGCTGGCATCGATGTTGATGGCCCTCCTTGAAGAGGGGCTGGGAGCAGTGGGGAGCAGGTGCAGGGCAAGGGCCCAGGGACCCAGTGCATTCCCTGGTGCCTCTCCCTGGGAGGATTGTTTGCTGTGCCATGCGTGCCACGGCCAGGCCAGGATCACTGTGTCCTTTGGTGCCGGGGACAGTCGCTGCTTGTCCTGTGTTTCCCTTGAGAAGAGCTCCCTCCACCCTTGGAGACGGACCCTGGGGGAGGGAGAAGATGCGGGAGGCCAGAACACAGTCCCATTGTGTGCCCGTGGTTTGGTGCCGGCAGCATCCTGGCCCGAAGTGGCAACGGGGAAACCTCCCTGATGCCTTTTCACAGGGCAGCATAAGGCCAGTGGGGTGCAAGAGTGGGGGGACCCCCCCTTGCAGAGCCCGTGGGAGCCTCAAGAGGTGGGAACTTTTTCCCCTCTACTGGGGACTGGGGTGGGCATAAAATTACCCATTGCCCTGATGTACGTGGGATCACAGAGCACTGTCCCAGCACTGGGGGCTGATGCCGAGCAGAGGCTTTGCAGGCCCAAGAGCTGCTGGAGCCCGGTGCAGAGCTGTATTTTTCCCTGAATTCCCAACGCTGTGGCCTGCGGATAAAGGGATGTTTGTTAGCCGGGCACGCTGTGTTTTGCAGAGCAGAACAATAAAGAGAAAGACACTCACAATGGGAAATTGTGCTTCCTCCTCCCTGTGCGTTCCTCGGGGAGGTGTTGGAGGGGAAAAAAACCGAGAAGAAAGCGGGAAGAGACGGTGACAGGGCAGGGAGTGCGGGCACAGCCGGCACCATGGGAGCAGGCAGCAAAGGCCCACGGGGCCACGGGGCTGCCGGGACACTGCCCATCCCAGGGCGGTGACAGGGCAGGGGCTGGCTGGGAGCACCCACTCGCCACCTCCCACATCCCCGTGTCCCTGTGCCACCTCTTCTGTGCAGGTTCGACCTTCCCAGAGCCCCAGAGCCCCTCCATGGGCTGTATATGACGGAGACGGGACGCAGCAGGAGCTGGGGCAGCACATGGGCTGGGGGCCTTGGATGGGAACAGTGGCTCCCCAAAGGACACACCTGGGGACGGTAAGAGATGGGGCAGGGGGTGCTGGGAAGGAGGGTTGGCACAGCCTGGGGGCTCGATGTCCCCTTTGCACAGTAAAAGTCAGTGAGCCGACCACGGAGCAGGGCCACCTCCTCTGGTCCCCACGGAAGCTGGGGGATGTCCCACTGCCTGTCCCTGACCCCTGCGCTCCCCCCAGGCACCGTCCTGCCCCCAGCTCTAAGGATGCACAGGCTGCTCCTGCTTGGCTGCTTCTGGCTCCTGACAGCACCCACAGTGTCCAGCATCTTCCAGAGGCCAACTGGGAGCCCAGGTAGGGAGCGGGGCCTGGGAGGAGGATGGGAGAACCCATTTAGGGAGCAGGACCTGAGGGGAAGACGGGGCACTGCTGTTTGGGGTCAGTGCTGGAGGGAGAGATGATGCTGGGGGTGTCCAGCTGGGGCAGGAGCTGAGCTGTACTTCCAGAGGATGCAGGAGAGGGGAAGAGGAGCCAGGAGAGAAACCACCAAATGCTTCTAGGGGTTGAGGGGTGCTCAGGGAGGTGTTGTAGGGGTGTTGGGGCCTCAGCAATGCTCCGTGGTGACCCTGTGCTGAGGCTGCCTGGGGGTGCCACAGCCCCCCCGCGCCTGCAGTACCTGTTGGAGCCCCTGCACTCCACGGTGCACACCCAGCGTGGGGCCACGGCCACCCTGCCCTGCGTCCTGCGCGCCCTGCCCCAGAACTACCGCGTCAAGTGGAGCAAGGTGGAGCCAGCCAACTATCGGGAGAGCATCATCATCATCACCAACGGGCTGTACCACAAGAACTACGGGCCGCTGAGCCCGCGGGTGCACCTGCGGCACAGCCACCGCTACGACGCCTCGCTCACCATCACCGACGTGGCTCTGGAGGACGAGGGGCGCTACCGTTGCCAGCTGGTCAACGGGCTGGACGATGAGAGCGTCTCGCTCACGCTGCACCTCGAAGGTGAGCTTGGGCTCCCCCACCTTGGGGAATGCAGCAGGAGACTGAGACCCAGTCCAGCCAGGGACTCTGGGCTGGACTGGAGGTCTGGTGGGTTCAATCCCTGTATGGGCTGTTCACTTAAGAGTTGGACTTGATGATCCTTGTGGGTCCCTTCCAACTCAGAATGTTCTGTAACTCCTGTCTGCTGTAACTCCTGTCTGTGGCTGGCTGCCTCCAGCCCTTGTTGCACTTATCTTCATCACTGAATCGCTGGGGATATTAAGTCAAAGCCTCCTCAGGGAGAGCATCTCCCTCACCCTGTCCCTGCCCCTCCAGGCGTTGTCTTCCCTTACCAACCCAGCAATGGGCGCTACAAATTCAACTACCACGAAGCCAAGCGAGCCTGCGAGCAGCAGGACTCCCGCCTCGCCACCTACCAGCAGCTGTACAAAGGTGAAGCACTCAAAAAAAGACTCTTCTTCAGCCCAAAAATACACCTGGCTGGGCGTGGGGAGGAGGAAAGTGCTGGTGCTGAGCTGCCTCTTGCCCCACAGCCTGGACAGAGGGTCTGGACTGGTGCAATGCTGGCTGGATCCTCGACGGGACCGTCCACTACCCCATCATCAACTCGCGGGAGCCTTGCGGTGGCCGCCTCCTCCTGCCCGGTGTCCGGACCTACGGGGCCAAGGACAAGCAGAAGGACCGATTTGATGCTTTCTGCTTTACCTCTGCTCTTCAAGGTAGTGCTGGGGTCCCCTGTCCCTCCCACAGAGTCCTGATGCCCCCCAAAATTCGTGCCAGGTCCGGGGGATTTTTCCCAGGGCATCGTGGCAGCTGCTCACCCGCAGTGTCCCCATCCATCCGTCCATCCCCAAGGCCAGGTCTACTTCATCCGGGGCCACCTGAACTTCAAGGAGGCCGGGCAGGCGTGTCGCAACCACGGGGCTGCCATCGCCAAGGTGGGGCAGCTCTACTCGGCCTGGAAGTTCTCCCAGCTGGATCGCTGCGATGGGGGGTGGCTGGCGGACGGCAGCGTGCGCTACCCCATCACCACCCCCCGGGAGCGCTGCGGGGGGCTGCCCGACCCCGGCGTCCGCAGCTTCGGCTTCCCCAGCAAGGAGATGAGGACCTACGGCACCTACTGCTTCGTGGGGAAGTAGGAGGAGAGGTGGGCTGAGCAGAGGGGGTGGTGCCGGGACACCAGCCCTCGTCACCCGGGCAGAGAGTTTGAGGTGGGGTATGAGGGGATGGTCTCCCAGAGATTTTGGGTGGTTCATGCATCATCTGGTGAAGAAATAGAGCTGGATTTAGGTGCTCAGTGCATGCTCTCATGGAGCTGCTCCCCACGCCCCAGCCTGCTGCAGGACTTGTGGGCTGTTCAAGGCTCGCTGGAGAAGCCAGACCCATTGCTGGGCCAGGAAGGGGGTTTAATCCATCCCCCTCAGCAGGCAGCACAGACTCCCCATTCCCCAGCTCCCATGAATCCCTCACCCCATCCTCACTCCCTGCAGCCATGAGGACTCTCTCTGGTGTGAGCACAGAGGACTTGGGCTGGGCATTAACGAGCGTGACTAATGGCGTGTCGCCTTCTCAATTAATAAAGCAACGGCAAAGCTGCACAGCAAAGCCACACTCCTGCCTGACTCCTTCCCCTGGGACCATCTGGGCCTCTCCACAAGGGGAATTTGACAGGGACTTTCCATCTCTGGTGCCCTGTCCAGGCATTATCTGTGTTCCAGACTCTGGGGGTTTCCGGGTGTTGCTGTTTGATACAGCCCAGGAGAGCTATAAAAAGCTGTAGAACTGGCACAGTGCAGGGGGATTAACAGCCTGGAGAGATGCTGGCATCCCCTGGCACCTGTCTCGTGTGGTAGCAACATCCCAGTTCCAGCCCTGACCAGTGCCCAGTGTCACTGGGATGTGCGGGCACTTTGGTCTGTGCCTCGCTGCTTCTGTGCCCAGGCTCTCAGTCTGCTGGTGGAGGCTGACATGGTCTCTATTTTGGGGCTGTACAGCCCTGCCTGTCCCACCCTGTGCCTGACCCCCCACACCAAATGACCAGGCCACCACTCTGCACCATCCGTTTACTGTTTTAATACCCACAGGAGCACGGAGAGGAGGTTGGGGCAACACGTACACAACTCCAAGCCTGCGGTGGTGACTTCTGCCTTTCCTGGGAAGTGCAGAAGCACCCCCACACCCCAGGAAGGTGCTGAGCTGCAGCAGAGCTTGGATGTCCCCATGTCACCCCCCACCAGGGTGTCACAGAATGAGAACCCTTGGGGCAGAGGTGGGAAAAAGAGGCTGAAGGTGATACTGGCATGTCACTGCCATCCCCTGCCCATGGTGTCCCCCTTGATTTCGACTCTGTTGTGACTGCCGGAACAAAACTCCCGTTGTGCTGCATTTCAGGTCACTGTCGGTTCCTTTCGAGGGGGTCTTTAGTTATTAGGATTTCTTTGTACAGATATAAAACAAACAAGGAGGCAGACACTCAACAGTGAGGTTTCATCCCACGCTGGTGTCCGTGCCGGTGTCCCAGTGCCATCCCCATCCCCACGAGCTCCAGGGCCTGGGCAGGTGGTGGCTGCTGCCCCGGGGACTCACTCAGTTGTCACGGGGCTGAGCCAGGCCTGGGAGGGACACAAGAGGGCCCAGGTGAAGGGAAGGCCAGGTGAGCAGATGCCGGGGGAATTCAGGGGGGGCCCGGAGCTCACCGGGGCGACAGGCCAGCTGGGGCGGCTCCCACGTGCCGTCCTCGCGGCAGCGGATGACGGGCGAGCGGCGCGGGACGAGGCCGTGCCGGCACTGGTACCGCGCCGTGGAGCCGATCTCGTAGCGCTGCTTTGGTTTGCCAAAGGCGCGGGCGTTGGTGAGGGCGGGGGGGGGCCCACACTGCACTGCGAGGGGGGTCGGGGTCATTGCAGCCAGCGTGGAGGGACAGCCCCCCAGCCTGGAGCAAACCACTGCCCCATAAACCCCAAACGGGCCGAGGGGCCCACGCACAGGAGCTGTTTGCCCGCTGTGGGGATGGTGGGGAACCCCCTCTTTGGGGGTTGCGGAGGGGCACAGCCCCAGCCCGGGGTGGAGGAGGCACGGCTTACCCAGCCCCATCTTGCAGGTGTAGGAGAGGTGGTAGTTGCAGGGCACGTCGCTCCACTGACCCCCGTCGTGCCACACGATGACCACACAGTTCTCACCAGAGAGGAAGTAGCTGTCGGGCTGCCCGGGGTGCCAGTTCTCATAGAGCTGGGGGGACAGGCATGGCAGGGTGCACGGGGCACCCCAGCACACCCTTTAAGTGTGTGTGTGTGGGGTTCCTGCACCAGCACACACCCGTCTGCAGCCTCGTGGCTGTGACATCCCCCTCAGGAACGAGGTGCCACCTCCATGCCCCTTGGCATGGCCTCGGCACCCCAAATCCCAGGGTCTGGCTTCCCTGAGGATGCTCAGCCCTGCTGAGGGGCTTCAAATCCTGGCCCCAGGGTTGGACCCCAGTGCCGGAGGAGGATGACAAGGTGCCAGGCAGGGTGAGGGGGCACGAGGGCACACAAGGGCTTACCGAGCCCGACTTACCAAGGGGCTCCCGTCAGACCACTGGAAATCCCCCTCGATGGTCCGGTCGTTCAAGCCGATCCATTGGTATTCCCTGTACTGGTCTGGGGGGCAGGGGGTGAGCTGGAGGTGGGAACACACCCAGGCAGCCCAGCACCACCTGGTAGGAGGGGGCCGGAGGGTACTGGAGGCTGAATTTGGGGTCTGGGGATGAGTGCGGGGAAGCAGAGGTGTCCCTTCCCCTGCAGCGGGAGGGTGATGGGAGATATGGGGACAAGGGAGCCCCGAAAGGGACACAGCGGGACCCCCTCGGCCCACACCCCGGAGCGGCGGGGCTGGGCTGGCCGGGAGAGGGCGGCATTGCCCCGGGACCCCGCCGGTCCCTGCCTGTCCCCACGTGTCCCTGCCGGCACCCGCCTGTCCCTGCCGATCCCTTTCTGTTCCTGCAGGTCCTCACCTGTCCTTGCCGGTCCCTGCCTGTTCCTGAATGTCCCTACCTGTCCCTGCCTGTCCCCACCTGTCCCTGCAGGTCCCCACCTGGCTCTGCCTGTCACTGCTTGTCCCTGCAGCTCTCTGCCTGCCTTTGCCTGTCTCTGCAGGTCCCCACCTGGCTCTGCTGGTCCCTTTTCTGGTCTGGCCAGTCCCTGCCTGGCCCTGCAGCCTCTTGCCTGTCCACACCTGTCCCCACCTGTCCCTGCAGCTCCCTGCGAGTTCTCTCCCTGTCCCTCTCCTCCTCCACCCTCAAGTCCCTCCAGGCCTCTTTGCTCTCTGTCCCATCCCACCACTCTTGTCCCTGCTCTGTCTCCCTCTGCCTTCCCCCCTGTCCCTCCACAGCTGCTTTCAGGCTGGTTATTGCTTTGCCTTCAAATTTACTTGCATATGTCCAACCCTCTGCCGGTCTGTCCACTTGTCATTGGATCATGGAATTGTTTAGGTTGGAAAAGCTCTCCAAGACCACCAAGTCCAACCATTCCCCAGCACTGCCAAGACCACCACTAATCCATGTCCCCAAGTGCCACATCCACATGTCTGCTGTTAAATCCCTCCAGGGCTGGACAGCCTATGCCAGTGCCTGACCACCCTTCCATGAAGAAGTTTTCCCAATGTCCAACCTAAACCTCTCCTGGTGCAACTGAGGCCATTTCCTCTTGTCCTGTCGCTTGTTACCTGGGAGAAGAGCCTGACCCCCACTCGGCTCTCGCCTTCTGTCAGGGAGTTGGAGAGAGTGAGAAGGTCCCCCTTGAACCTCCTTTCCTCCATGCTGAGCCCCCCCAACTCCCTCAGCTGCTCCTGGTGCTCCAGACCCTTCCCCAGCTCCATTCCCCTTCTGTGCTCACACTCCAGCCCCTCAATGTCTTTCTTGTCGTGAGGGGCCCAAGACTGAGCCTATCTACTCCCATGTCTCTCCCTGTTACTATCCATCTTCTCCCATGTCTATCCATGTATCTGTCTACCTGTCCATCCACCCACCCATCAGCTCTGAAGGGCCAGGCTCTGCCTCAGCTCTTGGCTACTTTTTTGGCTTAAGGTTTAAAACTTGCAGCCCAGGACTGAGGGTCGTTGGGCAGCGGTCCAGGGGTGTGCATCAGGGTCTGGGGCAACATCACGTACCATTAATGAAGTCCTGCTCTTCAGGGGTCAGGATGGTGGCAAGGTGTCCCCCGTAATGTCTGCACTGGGTCTCTGCGTCCTCCCAGCTCCTCCGGGTGGAGAAGTGCTTGTAACAGGCTCCCTGGAAGCTGTCCCAGCCGGGGCTGCACCTCCTCAGCGCTGAGCCCCGGCGGGGAGCAAGGAGGGAGAGAGGAGAGGGTCAGGGTGATGGAGCCCAACTCACCCCAGACTCCTTGATTTCCCCACTTTTATGTCTCCTGAGCCGCTGCTTCAGCAGCTGAGATGGCAGCAGGACCTGGACAGGGGCAACCTGGTGTGGCCACGGTGGGACCTGGGGGACTCACGTCTTTCACAGCTGCTGCCTCCGTAGCCGGGCAGGCACAGGCAGGTGACGTGGGTGTCATCCTCTGTGCAGGTCCCTCCGTTCAGGCAGGGGTTGGGGACACAGCCACCTGCAAGGCACACGCAGCCGTCCTCACCGCGGGGGCTCGGGGACCTTGTCAGTGCCCAGCATCGCCAGAGCCTCATCCCTGCGTGTCCCACAGCCACCAGGTGTCTGAGCTGGCCCCTGGGGCCAGCCAGTGTGGAGCAGGTGAAGGACTTGGGTGCACGGTGATGTGCCCAGAGCCATCCCATGCTGCCCTTTGTCCACGGGATGGACCCATCTTAGCTGCCCTGGCCCAGAGCTGGCCGGACCTGGGGCTTTGGCCTCCCCTCAGGGCACAGAGACATGAGCTGGATGCTCTCATCCTCCACATCAGTGGTCTGGCTGCCATGCCAGCCCCTGGCCCGCTCCTGCTGCCCGGGCACAGCTCCTGCTTTCCCCTGGAGTGACGCAGCAGTTGTACTTTGGGAGGGGAACACACAAAGGATAAACCCTTCGGCACCTCCTGGCTGCACATCCTCAGCCTGGCAGCAAGGTGAGCCACATGCCTGCCCCTCTGGTGTCACCTTCAGCCTGGCCAGGGCTGATAACTCAGCCGGTGCTGTCCCCAGCCCGCGTGTCCCCAGCAGCCCGTTACGGTCATTAATGCACCCGGAGCACATTCTGTGCTTCCAGCCCAGCTCAAGAGTGTGATGAAGGGCTGCTGCCAGCACCAGCCGAGCGAGGACTGAAAGTCCTTGGCCTCCTTCATCCTAATGGTGCCCCATTTCATGGGCCTTGGCTCAGTGGAGACGTGACAAGGGTGACGCTGTCACCCTCACCCATCCCCAGGCACCACCACCTCCCCACAAGGTGCCAGCAGCTCACTCAGGACATCCAGCTCGTCCCCAGCAGACGGAGGAACAGGGAGGGATGGGCAATTTAGGGCCTTAACATCACATGGACGGCTCTTCCTGGGCAGGCATCTCTCCTTGCCAGGGCAAGGGCAACCACCCCACAAGGTCTTGCCACCCTCCATAGAGCCTCCTTCACGCCACAGGACCAGGCAGGGCACTGCCAGAGCAGGGGGGGAGGGACCTCACATGGTACCCTCTGCTGCAGCTGCCCTTGCAGGGAACAGGGGGGTAGGGTCTTGGCTGCTGGGCGCTGCATTGGAGCTGGGAGCATCCCTTGGGGGGGGTAGGGGGCAGAGGGTGGGTCTGGGTGGGTGACACCCACCTGCAGCAGTTCATGCACCCACCACTCACCCATCTCAGCCCTCCTGTGGGGGGACCAGGGCTGGGGTGAGGGGCAAACTGCCCCCTGGGGGGACTGCAGCAATTTTGGGGTGCTTGGTCACCAAAGGCAAGGTTCTCTTGAGGCTCTGCACCCCACGACCCATCGGTGCCCCCATGTTTCCCCCTGCTCATGTCATGCAGCCCTCGCCCCTCCTCCCGGGGCAGCGTGGGGTGACCCATCCCCAGGGGGGCCACATGGAGCATGCAAAGCAGCCATACCCCCCAGACCTCCGGGGGGGTCCCATCCACCCCATTCCCAAGGACTCACGGGGCCAGAGGGTGGGGGATTAGTTCGTCAGTGGGAGAGGCGTGTGGGCAGCAGGCGCAAGGACGAAGGGAAGAGCTCGCCGAGATGCTTGTTCTAGAAAGCTTTTAATTCCCTTTATTAGTACCACGGTTAGTCAGAGCAGGGGCTGGGGCTGCCTTTTGCTTATTGGGCTTTTTCATGGAAACAGTCATTAAAACACTTCACAGAAGTAGAAGAGATTTAAGTGCATGCAGACCTCGGACCAATTTGTTTGACAAATATGTGCTTCTCCGGACCTGTAACCTTCCCTTACCCAACTGAGGAGAAGAGAGAGAGAGAGACAGACGGACGGACAGACAGAGGGAAGCACAGCGTGAAGGAAAGGTGTTGACTTTCTCTATTGCCAAAGAGCAGCCAGGAGGGCTGCCCCGAGGGCGAGGGTGGCACGGCGGGGACCCCCGGCCGAGCTGGCGCCTGCCCCGACGCTGGCCCGCTCCGTGGGGAGGGCGGGCAGGGGCACAGCCGTGCTGGGGGCCGGGTCTCCCAAGGGAGTTCCCGCCAGGGTCACCCCAGAGCTGCCAGTACGGGGAGAGGTGAGGCCATCCCTGCGGGTCCCACCTGGTTCTCCAGGAACGGCTGCAAGGAAACCCTCCACGGTTGCAACGGAGGGAGCAGGTTGCTCTTCCTCCTCCTCCTCCTCCTCCTCCTCCTCCTCCCGGGAAGGTGCAGCAGGCATCCCGCGGTCAGCGCCCGGGGGTCGCGGCACAGCCTCCTCTCCTTCCAGGGCTGGGGCGAGGCTGCCGCCGGGCACCGCCGTTGCCTCCGCTGCGGGGACGGTGCTCCCGTCCCCCGGGGCCGCAGGCGAGGGGAACCACGGGGCCCCTGACAGCTCCTCTCCCTCCTCCTGCGGCTGCGAGGGCGCAGCGGGCAGCGGGGAAGCCCCGAGGCTTTCGACCACGTCTCCGGAGAGCTCGGCGTCTTCAGCGGCGGGGACGGGGCTGCTCGTCCCGCCGGGCTTGTGGCGCTCTGTCGAGGTGGCAGAAGCGGCACCGGTTGGCGATGGCACACGGTGCCCAGGTGCCCCAGGGCTGGCAGCGTGGCCCGGCCGCCCCATGGAGTCCCGCGGGCGGTCGGGGCGGTGTGCGGGGGCGGCAGGGCTGGGCGGCCGGGGAAAGCCCTCAGGAGGCTCCGTGTCACCTGCTGGGACAGCGGTGGGTCCCTCTGCGCCCAGCCGCGGGGCCACGGAGAGTGTCTCTGTGCCGGGGGCTCCGTCCGGCTCCAGGCTGGGGTCTCGCCCTCCGCCCGGGCTCTCCGCTGATGTGCTGCCAGGGCCCCTGCCCGGCGCTGCTCCCTGTTCTTCCTCTGCAAAGGGCAAGGCAGAAAGGCAGTGAGACGCCTGCGCCGGGAGCCAGCCAGACCAAGGGGCCGCGGGCTCCGGCATCTCCCGCCAGCGCTGCCGACCCTCCCCCGGTGGGCAGAGCCGGGGGGGCGATGCCAGCACAGAGGTGCGCGGGGAGATGGAAGCGGCCCCGAGCCCGTGTGACACTGTCTCCTCTGAACCGGCACGGCTGACAGCTCTGGTTTGACCACTGCCAAGCCCAGCCCTGGCTTCTCTGTGGCAGGGGCCATGCTCAGCCCCTCACCGCTGTGCCTGGCCTCCTTTCCCTCCAGCTGCCAGCGCCCTTGTCCAGCTCCTTGCTCTGCTAAACTGCGGTCCAGCACCGACCCTGCACGCTGGACTGTGGCTGAGGGAGGGACAAACGGATGTCCCCACGCCAGTGTACAGCCCTACACCAAGACACCAGTGCACCAGCCATGGGGGCTCCCTCCGCAGGAGGGACAGGGACAGCAGGGGTGACCTGGGCACCCACGGGTGCCTCCAACCTCTCCTTGCAATCCTGGGGCCTCTGTGCCTGCTGTTCCTCTCTGTGTCCCAGCCCTGGCACGGCCACAGCAGCTGCTCAACCTACCAGTGTGGGACAGTCCGTGCCTGGCCACGGTGGCTGCCCCACTGTCCCTGTCCCCCCGTCCTCCTCCACAGGGCGTGGGCTCCCCAGCTTTGCACCACAGCTAAGTGGGACACCTGCCTCGGGGACGGCTGGGGCCGTGGGGAAAGGGGAGGCAGGGGTGGGGTGACCTGAGGACACGGAGGTATCTAGTGGGGGGTGCCGGGCCCCTGGCCCTGGTGTGTCTTCAGGGGACGGGCTCGGCTTTTCCAGCTCAGCGTCCTCAAAGAAAGGGACGGCGTAAATAGCCCCTCGCGACTCAAGCTCCACTGGTGCTCTGGGCAGCTGCAGCTCCTCCAGCTTTTCTGCCACTGTGACAATCTCCTGAAGGAGATTCTCCTCGGGCTCTTGGGCTTGGTATTTTCCTGCAGCCTCAGGGAAAGAGTTTGTCCCTTCTGTGGGCAGAAAGAAAGTGGGATATTACTGCCCTGTCCTGGCCCAGTGGCAGGCAGAGATGCCCTCACCCCACAGTGGGGCTGGAGCCCTGGCACCCCTGCAGGGATTCAGCTGTCATTGACCTCCCCTTCCCCACCTAAAGAGGGTCAGCACGGGGCAGGATCAGGCCCTCCCAGTTGCTGTTGGAGCCAGAAGAGCCAACAGCCCCAGTGGGAGCTTTGGGGCTTGGCAGCACGTAGGGGGGCCAGATCCTTAACCCTGCATTCCCGTCTCAGGAGCAGTCCTTCTCCACACCCACACCCTCACCCCGGGGAGAGCAGACATGCACGGGGAGTTAGTGTGTTACAGGGGCTTGGATTCACGGGACGGGTCCATCCTGCCTAACCCATCCTGCCTAACCCTGCTGAGAGGTGGGGAATCTGAGGCACGGAGATGTGCAGCATCCAGCCGATGCAGGGGCAGTGTCCCCGTACTGCCCCGAGGGGATACACGGAGAGGTGGGATCGGGCAGGAGGAGTGGAGAAGCAGCTCTTCCTCCCTCCATGCCCATTATCCCTGCAGCTCATCACCTGCGGGGCTCGCCGGCAGTGCAGGCAGTGCTGTGCCACTGCCCACGGGTCTCCTCCCTGCCCACCGGGGGAGGTATTGCCCAAACCAGCCTGGCAGGCTGTGTTCCACAGCCCCCAGGACCCAGCAGTGCCCCCCAGGCCAGCAGCTGTGCTCACAGAGCTCACACAGACCGACGGTGCCACGCAGGACATCCCTGTTCCACCACGATCTAGTGGTGCGCAGTACTGAGGACATGCAGGGCATCCCTGCTCTGTCGTGACATATCAGCATCCGCTGCTGAGACCACGCAGAGCACCCCTCCTCTACCCAGAGCTACCAGCATGCAGGATCAGGACCATGCAGGTTATCCCTCCCTGGTCACGACATGCAGCGTGGAGACCACGCAAGACATTCCTATCCTACCGCGGTGAGTCAAGATGGCACAAAACACCCCTGCCCGCCCTATCGCGATAGCGCAGCGCGCGGCACGGAGAACATGCAGGGATCCCGACGCGATCCCGATCCTGCAGGACAGCCCGTCTCTGCTGCACGCAGCGCACTCGGGTGGCCTGGGGGTGGCACCTCGCACCCGCCGGGCACCTGAAAGCCCTGCCAGAGCCTTCCCGAGGCCTCCCGCCGGTCCCTGCCCAGGAGCACCCGCGGGCCGCGGGGTAGTGCCCCTCTTTACCTCGGAAACAGTACGCATCGTATCTGCTCTGGGCATCGGGGAATCCCGTCTGGTTGCGGAAGAGGAAGATGGTTTTGACACCCGGCAGGGCTCCGCCGCAGCGCTCCCGAGGGGTGACGATGGGGTAGCGGACGCTGCCGTCGGCCAGCCAGCCGGGGCTGCAGGCGTCCAGCCCCGCGTTCCAGGCCGCGTAGAGCTGCCCCGGGCTCGCCAGCTCCGCGCCCAGCGCCCGGCAGCGCTCCACCGCCTCCTCCAGCGTGAACCTGGCTGGGGCCGTCTCCAAAAAGATCTCCCCTGCGAAGAGAGGAAGGAGACGAGGCGTCAGAGCTGGGGAGGGGGGCAGGGGCTGCGAGAGCCCCCTCACCTCCTCTGCTCTCCGCACGACCCCAGGAGCTGGCGTGGAGGTGGGGACTCTAGCGTGTGGAGGCACACCAGGGGCTGGAGGAGCCTGCCTATATCCCTGCCTTCCTCCTTGCCTTCCTCCTTGCCTTCCTCCTTGCCTGCATCCCTGTCTTCCTCCCTGCCTGCATCCCTGCCTCCTGTTTCCCTGCACATGCACACGCACGTGGCAACCACAGTGCAGGCATGGCTGGAGCTCTTGTGCCACATGGGATTCCTGCCCTTGCAAACAGAGCTGAGACTTTGAAGCATCCATGAGCAGGTCTTCACCCTGCACAGCACAATCCACAAGCAGGACATTTCTAAGGGGGATCTGCAAGCCCAGTGGATACTGTGGTGGGGCTTCACACTGAGAAGTTCTGGGCACATCACATGTCGGCCCCCACAACCACACTGATCTCCCTGTCCCAGCACATCGTGCCCTGCACACAGGCAACCTGTCCCTTGTCCCTGCCACCCTGCCTGGCATCACCCCAACCAACCCCACAACAGCTGCTGCCACCAGTGGGGAGCCCCATCAGGGCCCAAAGGAGGGACTGGCCACTCCCCACACACACAGCTGGGTGGGATCCGCGGCACCGCAGCACGTGCAAAGCATGGTACGAGCACAACCAAACCCCAAAACACCTCGCAGCGTTACCCACGCTCTGCTGCCAAACCAGGGCAGATCACCGTGGGCACACTCCAGCCCGGGCACTGCCTGCTTCAAGGGAGAGAGCCCCTCATCCTCCCAAACCAAACCAGAACGCTTTAGGAAGCAGCACAGCAAGTCCCCATGGCCTGGAGCCGAAGCCTGAGTTTCAGGGCAGCTTTTTCCTTGGATTCACAACTGGTTACAGGGGCGAGTTAGTGTGGGAGCAAAAGCAGGGGAGGGCAAGAGGGGACTGGTGGCACCGCAGGCACCTGGGAGGTCCTCAGCGTAGCAGTACACGTCGTACATGTCCTCTGGGTCCACCACCCCGTAGTTCCTGACCCCAGGAAAGCCATTCATGTCTCCATAACAGGCCTCGCGGGGTGTCTGGATGGGGTACCTGGGGCAGGAGAGCACAGGGAAGGGTTGGTGACTCACAGAAGGGTGATGGGGGGAGGCAGTGGGTGCAATGCCCAGGTGGCTGCGGTGCCCACCTGACGGTCTGGTCGGCGATCCAGCCGGCGTCACACTGCTCGTAGCCGCCCAGATAGGCAGCGTAGAGCTGCTCGGGGGTGGCAATGCTGGCACCGATCCGGGCACAAGCTTCCTGCGCCTCGGCAAAGGTGTAGGCGTAGCGCATGGAGCCCTCCCGGTAGTGAAACACCACCCCTGGGGGAGGACAAAGGCGTGGGCAGGGGGCTTCGTGGCAGCCCCCCCGAGTGGGTGCAGATGCACCCGGGGGGGCATTTGCTGAGCCAGGAGAGGGCCCCAACCCGCCCCAAGCCCCACCTTGGAGTACCTTTGACTTTGACATGGAGGATGTCGTGGCCGTCCTCGATGCCGTGCTGCACGTCGCAGCGGTAGATCCCCGAGTCGTTGGGCCGCAGCTCGGTGAGCCGGAGGGAGGCGTTGGTGTAGCGCTGGTGGAAGATGGGCAGGGAGGCGCGCAGGCGATAGTCCTCGCTCACCTTCACCCTGTCCCCCCGAGCTACCAGGATCTCCACCTCCCTGCCCTCAGAGATGAAGGTCCACTTGACCCGGGGGGTTCCCAGGACAGCCCGGCGGCCACCCGTGCCGGCAGTGGGCTGGGGGCCAAGGTAGGTGATGAGGCAGGGGATGGTGATGTCGCCTGCCAGCACAGGGTCGAGGGCTGGGTGGCGTGGGATGGAGACCTGCAGAGCCTTGAGGTCCTCTGGGTGGGAGAAGAGAGGAGCCGTGAGCAGGACGAGGGTGGGGGCCCCCTGAAGCCCCCACTATGGGGCACAGACGGGGCAGGGAGTGACGCAGATGCGGCCGATGATGCCGAGTTACCTGTGCCATCTCCGGGGCCAAACACCTGCGGGACCACTGTGGGGGCAAACAGCCAGAGCAGCAGCAGCGGGAGGGCTGGGGCCATGCTCTGCCCTGCAAGGGGGGAGCAAAAACCACCAGCTGTGCTTAGAATCCCAAAAAGTATCAGAAACATCCCATCCCTGCATGAGCGAGAGAGCTCAGGGGGAGCCCCCAGCCCATCTGTGCAGGGATGGGGTGTCAGGGCACAGAGGGAGAGGGCAGCACTGGCATGACCGCAGGGCATGACCTGGACCCTTGGACAGTGTGAGAGGAGAGGGAAGAGAAGGAAATGTGCCCTGGTTAACAGGAGGAAGGAGACAGCACGAGCTCCCAGGACCATTGGCTGGGAGCCACTGGGTACCATCCAGTCCCAGCAACCTTCCCTGGGAGCCGGGTCCCCTGGGGACAGCAGAGTCCAGCCTGGCACCGATGGCACGGAAGGTCTGAGCCCAAGCGCTGGCCACAGCGGGCAGGGAGGTGATGCCAGCGCCCGCGGTGCCGCCGTGAGAAACCTTGGGAAGGGTTCTAACAGCGGGTTAGAGCAGGAAAGAGGCAGCGAGGGAGGCGAGCGAGCCAGCGGGGCACATGCGTGTGCTTGTGCAGCTCCACGCGTGTCGCAGAGCTCGCACGAGCGGGTGTGCACACGCGTGTGCCTGTGCTCGTGCACGTGTGTGCTGAAGAGGGAGTGTTTGTGGAGGGGGTTGAGGTCAGCGAGCCGCTGGGGAGGGGTGACAGCCCAGGGCACACAAAGCACAGGGCAGAGGGGGAGGGAAGGAGCAGGGCGGCTTCTTTGCCATTCAGCTCACGCCGGAGGCTCCCTGCGCGCGGGCTGGGAAAACCGGGGCTGACCAAAGCAGCCATTATGTCCCAGGCCTCTCTCAGGCTGCCTGGCACAAAGGGCTCTCACCGGAGGGCTGGGGAACCAGTGCTGAAAGGAGAGCCCGGTGGCCAGCACCGCCATCACCGGGCCCCAGCCCTCCCCAGGATGCAGCTCAGGGGATGCCAGGCATGTCAGGAGGGGCTCCGGCTGCCCACGGCCTCTGCCCTCCCCTCTTGCCCTCCAGAGGGGAGGGTGATGCTGGGCATGTGGGGAGATTCCCCTGCACGATGCACAGCTCTGATACCCCCTCACCCCTCTGCAGAGGCTCCTCAGGGGGCTGGGAGCTCCTCAGCCCCCCATGCCAGGATTGCATCACACCGTTCCCTGGGAACGCAGCACCCTGAGCCTCAGAGCAGCTTTGTGATTTATGAGCTCTTTGTGCTGCATTGATTTCGGCAGCCACAGTAGTGGCTTGGGCAGCTCCACAGCAGATCGCTGGCTGCCAGGGCCAGCCTGCTGGGAGGCTGTCCTGGTCACCTGCATCCCTCTGCAAACTGTGCTCCTGGAGTGTGCCCAGGGCACCACTGCTCCGGGGAGAGGTGTGAGTACAGCCCCCAGCACTGAGCACTGTGCACTCACACCCCAGCACCATGCAACCAAGGATGTCCAGGCACCACCCACCACAGACATACAGCCCCTGGCACCACAAAACCGTGGACATACAGCCCCTGGCACCACAAAACCGTGGACATACAGCCCTTGGCACCACCCACTATGGACATACAGCCCCTGGCACCACGTAGCGATGAATGTACATCCTCTGGCACCACACACTAAGGATGTCCAGTCCCTGGCACCACACACCATGGATGTACAGCCCCTGGCACCAAGCAGCATGAATGCACAGCTCCTAGCACCAAGATCTGTGGACATACAACCCTGGCATTGCACAACCATGGACATACAGCCCCTGGCACCAAACATCGTGGGCATACAGCATCTGGCACCGCGCAGCCAGGGGTGCACAGTCCCTGGCACCAAGCACCATGCATGCATAGCTCCTAGCACCAAGATCTGTGGACTTGAAGCCCCTGGCACCCCACATTATGCACATCCCTGGCACCACCCAACATGGACTTACAGCCCCTGGAAACACACACCAAGGATGTACAGACCCTGGAACCACACACCATGAACATACAGCCCCTGGCACCACACCCCATGGAAGTATAGCCCCTGGCACCAAGCACCATGCATGCAAAGCTCCTGGCAGAAGCTTCATGGTCTTACAGCCTCTGGCACCCCACATCATGGATGCACAGCCCCTGGCACCACCCACTGTGGACATACAGCCCTTGGCATGACACACAATCAACGTCCAGCCCCTGACACCATGCACCATGGACATACAGCCCCTGGCACCACCCACTGTGGACATACAGCCCTTGGCATGACACACAATCAACGTCCAGCCCCTGACACCATGCACCATGGACATACAACCCCTGGTACCACACACCATGGACATATAACCCCTGGCACCACGCACCGTGAACGCCAACCATCATGCGTTGACCACAAACCTCCCCTTCCTAGCAGGAGCTCAGCAGGGGCAGCCGAAGCTCGATCTCCCGGGACCCGGCCGGTGGTGTCCGGGCCAAGCCAGGGGCTTTCTCCACTCCGGACGGATCATCTGAATGCAGCCCCGCGGCTCTGGAGTGAGGGACAAAACCCTCCTGCGCGGCCGCCGTGGCCAGGCTCCAGTGTGGGGGTTGGCTGCCACCCCCGGGGCGGCCAAGCGAGGAAGGCTTTTGTCACGGGCACCTTTTCTTCCCATCCCCAAGGCGCCGCGGTGGCGCAGGCAGCAGCCACGAAGCCCCAGGGAGGAAATCCAAGTGATAAAGCTCTGCAGGAATGGGGCAAACTGGGCTGAGTGGTCTCTGCTCCCTTCCTGTGCCCGTCCCTGGCTGGACCAGCGTGCTGGCACCAGGAATGGGATGTGGAGAGGGTTAAACTCTGCCCATGGGTGACGTCCTGAGGTCCCCGAGTCCCATGATGGCAAGAGACTCTCAGCCATCAAATCTGGGGCTTGAGGTTGGATTTTTGGCTTGGGCTTTTTTATTTTCCACAGATGGAAAATCTTTTGACCCACACGTCATGAGGGAAAAGCTGGGAGCAGGACTAGGGAAGGGCAGCCAAAGAGGTTGAAGAGGAGGAATGGCAGAGGCTCAATTGTCTCTGAGACCTCAGAGCTCAGCAGATGCCAGGGATGGACCGAGACAAAGGCACACACGCACGTGGCAGGGCCAGCTAACCTCCATTTCCGTGGGAAACCAGGTGGAAAATGGAGCCGAAGACTATTTTGGGACAGGAGTGATCTTTCTTTCTCCCTTGAGCTCGGCCCTCCTTTCAGAGGCGGCTCCTTGAACGTGGCAGGGCCAGCAGGATTTGGGGCTGCAGCACCTGGTCCAGGGCGCAAGGCAGGAGATGCTGCGAGGGGACGGTCGTGGGAGGGGGTCTCTTCTCATCTCGGAAGAGGGGCTTTCTCCTCCGCAGCCCCTCGTCCCCTCCACGTGATGGTTACTCATCCCGGCTCCCAAGGTGCCCTGCCAGCCCGCAGCGAGCCGGAGGAGGGGGGAGCAGAGCGGTGGCTTTCCAGGGATGCTCAGCTGCAGAATGAGTCAGCAGCCGCCGGCACAGCCTGGCCCCGCTCCAGCCCCATCCCCACCAATGCAAAGGGCTCCGGACACCCCGCTGCCGCCCCGGCTGCCGGGCGGACCCGCAGCCACGGTTCGCTTGTGGTTGCGCCGTGTCCGTCCCCCCCCGCGGTGCTGCAAACTGGCGCTGCATCCAGGATTCGTCCCCACCCCCGCGGGTGGGTGGGGCGCGACCATCGGAGGGGTCCCCGGAGCTGGGCAGTGCCAGGGACATGCCAGCTCAGGGTATGCAGCGGGAAGAGCCCGGCAGCCTCTTGGCAGCAGCCGCTGGCAGAGCTTAAAGGGCCGGAAGCAGGTGGGGAGAGCGGGGCGGGGAGGGGTCCCTCCAGCTGCCAGAGCCCCCCGCCCCCCATCCTAGCAGGGAGAAAGGGGCTCCTTGTTGCAGGGCTGGGCTGTGGGAAGTGTCCCCGGTCCGCGGGAGCCCAGGGAGGGTCCCTGGGGAGATACAGTCCCGCACGGAGGGGTGGGGACCGGAGCAGACCCCGCAGGAACCCTCCAGGGACACGTGAGCATGTGCACCCCCCGTAAGTGTGTCACACACACACGTGAAGGTTTGCACGCCCTTCCCCGGCTGTGGGGCTCCGGTGGGGAAACTGAGGCACCAGGTGGGACAGAAGCGTGGGGTGGAGGACGGGGGGGTCCCAGACTTCAGCGCTGCTGCTCAGGTGGGACCCAGCCCCGCTGCCGCTCACCACCAAACTCGCATCTCGCCGTTCCCAGCGCAAGATCACTCGATCTCCCGGTTTTCCCAGCCTAAATCCGTTCCCTGAAAAGCGGGGGATCACCCTCTCTCTGTGCCCAGGAGCTGGAAAAGGCTCCGGGCTGGGGCAGAGGGAGTTTCTCCCACCCCCCGGCAGCCAAAAGGAAGAGCAACAGGTTCTGGGTTGGGCTGAGGCGGGAGAAGTCGGCGTGACGGGAGCAGCGGTCCCTGGCAGGGATGTTCAAGGGCAGCCCCTTCGTCCCGGGGACGAAATGCTCTGGCTGCGGGAGGGGAAGCGGATTGCGGCAAACGGACCCCACCTGGGGCACCCCACGGGGCACCTGGGGCTCACACTGGGGCTGCTCGGCTGGGAAGAGCCATGAAAATCCTCAAAAATTTTCCCCCGGGCCCTCCCGTCCCCCTCACTGGGACAGAGCCAGAGATTGGAGCCGAGAGAGCTGGGGGAGGACAGGGAGACCCGGCGGTGCCCTACAGCCACCCCAAACCCTGGGCTCGTCCCCAGGCCCCTGGAAATGGACACTTTTTCCCCTAAACCCCTCCCCCTCCACGGAGAGTAGCGACACGGCCGGGCAGGAGCGGCGGGAGCCGGACCAGCTCCGTGCCTCAGTTTCCCTTTCCACTGCTACCCTGACTGCAGCCTCCCTGGGACAAGGACCCCACGAGAGACTCTGCAGGACAGACGGGGAGGGCTCCTCTGTGACGGGACACCCCAGACCCATCCTGAATCCCCGGCCCCTCTCCCAAAACAGGGGGCCCGTGGGAGCAGCTGCTTAAACAGCCCGGTAAATCGCCCTTATCCCCAACCCCTTCGAGCCCCGCTGCGGGACGGGCTGGGCTCCAGGCTGCAGCAGCCAGGCAGTACCAAAGTCCTTTCTCCATCCAACTTCGCAAGAGCCCCCCCTAACCCCGCTCTGCCTCCGGCGCTGCGGAGCCGCTTCAAGCTGATCCCTTAGAAAAAAACTTGCAGCGCGGTGCTGTGCTCGGGGGCGCCGGTGACAAGGACGAACCTCCCCGAAGCGGCACCGCGGGGACCCCCAGGTCCGAGTATCCCCCCGCTGCAGGGCAGGAGGATGCCCTGTGCCCCCCACGGGGAGAAGCACGGGGGAAGCTCTGGGCATCCCCACGCCGGCTCAGCTCCCGTCTCACTTTCCGCCCGCGGGGAGGTGAAATGCGATCCTGAGATGAAAAGCGCAGTACGGCAGCGCCCCGGGGACACCGCAGCGCCCGGGGCACCGCCGGCCCCGCACCCCCGGGGGACATCGCCGGCCCCACGCGCTCCCCGCATCCCACCTGGCTCCGTGCGTGGCGGCAGCCCGCGGCGGGGGCCCCTCTTTGCGGCGGGGGAAACGGGGGGTCCCCTTGCCCGGGGTCCCGGTGCGGGGCTGAGCTGCGGCTCCTCCGGGGCAGCGCGGGCAGCGGGCGGCAGCAGGTTGGCAGGACGGCTGGGAAAGAGCTGCACCAGGCATAAGTGCAGGCACCGAGAAAAGAGGCTTCTGTGTGTGTGTGTGTCCGTGTCCTCCACTCTCCTTTTTTTTTTTTCCTTCCCCTTTCCCTCCTCCTTTTATATTTATTCCTTCCCCTAATTAAGAAGGGAAAAAAAAAAAAAAGATATTACCGTGTTGGCAGGCGCCTCGTCCCTCCCCGTCCCTCCCTCCTGGCAGCTGGCAAACCCCGCACGAGAGGAGGATGCTCAGCCCGGGCACGGTGTTAACCCAATGCAGCAGAAGTGGGCGAGCAGCCGGCACTGGGTCCCCCGGACCCTGCCGGAGATCGGGGGGTCCCCCTACCGCAGACCCCATCATGGCACGGGAATGTCCTTGGGATGGTTATTCCTAATATTTGGCAGCTTCAGCAGGACGGAGAGTGGACCACAGGCGGGGGTCCCAGTACCCAGCGGAGGCTTTATTATGCAAAAGCCCCTTCGCTGCGAAGCCACAGTGGGTGGAGGCACCATCCGGGGGCCGGAGGGACCCTTTGCCAGCCCCAAAAGTGTGTTGGGAGCAGCCAGATCTCACCTCCTGACACAGCACTCACAGCCAAACTTGGTCCAGCAGAGAGACACGCCGTGCCTCAGTTTACCCGCCTGCGTCCGTGTCAGGGTTAATTTACGCCAGGATAATTTCTGAATCTTTAGGCTTGAATGCTTGTTCCTGGAGGGATGTGTGGGGACCTGGGCACCCAGTGGGGTCCTGGGGCAGCTGGAGCCCCTCATCTGCAGACCCAAGCCCCTTGGCAGAAGGGCAGCTCTGGCATTGGGGCTTTTTTTAGCCAGATCTTCCTCAAACTTTCCCTGGCACGGAGCACCCCCTGCCCGGGGGGGCTGGCGCGGAGCCTGCCAGGGAATTGCTCGGGTGAATTTGCAGAAAGCCGCAGCTCCTGAGCAGAATTAATCACTCGTCGCCCTGGGAAATAATTGCAGGCGGCAGAGACGGTCTCGTTAGCGGAGCAGTTGGGTGGGGGATGCGGGTGCAGCGGGTGATGCTCCTCCGGTGGGGACACACACACCCCGCAGGGCTCTGCCCTCCAGGCTCTGCCCTCCAGGCAGCTGCATCGTGGAGCAGGGCTGCGATGGGCACCGGGACGGGCAGGGGGGAAACCCACAGGCTGGCTCAGCCTCTGCCCCCCAAAAACCCCACCCATGAGGTCACATCCTGCACCAGGAGCTTTTGTGGGAAAGGGCTCGAGGCCGGGGGAACCGCGGAGTGCCTGCTCAGCAAGGGGCGTCCCCCATCCTAATTGGGAACAAATGTTCCCGGCGTGGCTGGGGTTTCCTTGCTGGCTCAGAGCAAATCTTCCAGGGCTGCTGCTCTGCCAGCTCCTTCCCTCCTGGTCCCTCCTGGCCATTGGAATCTATGGAGAAAAGCCCTTGGGACATCCAGCTCCTGGAACGGGCAGGGGAGAAGGGAAAGAGAATACCCATCCCTGCCTGCAGCTCCAGAGGTGCAGGGGGCCTCCCAGCCCTTCCCATGGCCCCAGGCCCAGCTCCAGCAGCCAAGGGCATGGAAAGGGCTCCCAGCCTCATGGGGACCTCCACAACTGCAACCCCCCCCAGTCCCAGCTGTGTCCAGTCTGGAAGGGCCTCAGTGCCCAGCTGTGCTTCCTCCTCCTCCTTCTCCTCCTCCTCCAGCCCTGCTTGAAGTCACGTACCAGCTGCTGCCACGCACCCTGTGCCAGGCTCGACAGCACCCACCAGCCCCCACCCTGAGGCAGCAGGGCTGGGGCACCCTCAAAACTGCTGCCCCCCCCAACCTCTGCTGCTGCTGAATGGCCACCCCTGAGCACCCCACAGGGCCAGGGGGACACAGGGACAGACATCCCCCTTCCAGAGGGTCCTGATGCCAAGCACCTCCTAGGGACATGGACATCCCCATTCCAGGGGGTCCTGACACCCAGAATTCCCCAGAGACATGGATATCTCCCTCCAGGGAGGCTCCTGACTCTGAGTGTCTCCCAAGGGACACAGACACCTCCATCCCAGGGGGTCCTGACCCCAAGGACACAGATGACCCCATCCCAAGTCACTCCCAAACCTGAGCACCCAGCAGAAGGAAGGGATACACAAACATGCCCACCTCAGGGTGCCCCCCAGCTCTCCCCAAGGCTGGGAGGTGCCAGGACCCCTCAACACCCCTGGAGACCCTGAGTCCTCCTTGGGCTGCAGGATTTGGTCTGTCCCACCGAGCCCCAGCACTGGCTGAGGGAGAGGGGCCTGGGCACAGTGGGGAACCCCAAAGCAAAGGCATGAGGAGGAAGAGGGGAGCAAGGCCAGGGAGGAGGGAAACACTCCCTCCCAGGGCACGTCCTGGTGTAGCCACAGGCACTGGGGGCTGTCTTGTGGCAGACACCAATATTGGGGGCACCCAGACACCCCAGGAGCACCTGGACACCCTGCAGGCTTCTGGACATCCCAGGAGGAGGAGAGTGGGAGCAGCCCAACAGTGGGGATGGCCAGCTCTGGAGCAGATGTGCTATGGAAACGAAGAGGGGGAGGATGAAGACACACAGCAAAGCTTCATCCCCCACTGCCCGGGGCTCCGGGGACCCCGGATGAATTATCCGACCTCAGAGCTCCCTGTGCTCCTTAATGGCATTTCAATCCTGGCTGTGAGAGGCAAACCAGAGCCGGGGCCAGGGAGCCAGACAGGATGTCTGGCCGGAGATGAGCCGGAAAGGCAATGCCTTTGGGGACCCCCGAGCCAAGTCATCCCCCCTTCCCCACTGTCCAGGCACCGGGGGAAAACCGGGTGCTGGGACCCCGTTACTGCTGCTCCCAGGTGTGGGCGGTGTCGGGGGCCCCCTCACCAGCTCCCGGCTGGTGCGAGGCTGGAAGGAGCTCGGGGACGGCTCTGGGTAGCTCTGGGCGTCCTTTGCCAGCAGAGGGGACTGTTGCTTGTCTCTCCAGAAACTCTCGTTTGGAGCCTCTCCCGTGAGACAGCTCGGGAGGGGACATTCTTGTCCTCCTTGCCATGGTGAGGACAGAGCACGGACCCTCCTGTGGGACAAAAACACCGTCTCTCGGGAGAGGGAGGACCGGGAGAAAGCTGGCAACGAGTCTCTCCCCAAGTGATGTTTTCCTGCCTCTTTTGTTCACAGAAACCTCCCGAGTCTGATTTTTTAAATCTCCGCCTCTTTACCAGCGAGCTGCCCTTCCCCCAGATAAATCAGCTGGGGAAAATAAAAAAGGAAAATCAAAACTCCTAATCCCCAAACGCTCCTCGTGAAGCGATTCTTATCCCGACTCCGACGGCTTGACCGCGCGGGTGGAAGCTGTGAAGGAAATCAAACGCTGAGCCGGCACTTGCCAAGTTTCAGAGGCTGCCGGAGCAGCTCCCGTTGGGCTCCCGGCTGCGCTCGGCACATCCCACCCCGAACATCTGGAAAGAAGGAGGGTTGCAGCTGGACGCAGCTGGATGCAGCACCACAAGGAGGGGGGGTTGGCCAGGATGACGCTCTGTGTCCCCCACTGTCCCCAGAGGCGGTTCTCCCTCTCTCCTCTCTGACAGATCCAGGGCACCGGATCTGCCGTGGTTTGTGCTGACCCAAAACAGCCCCGGGTCCCGAGTGGCACCGGTGTTCTTGGTGCAGCCATCACCTCCCCAGGACTGTGAGACCCTCGGTGGGCTCCTCCTGGGCTCCCTTGCACCCGGGTTTCAGAGCACAGGGCCGGCCAGACGCTGTGGAGGGAGGGATGCTGCAGCCAAGCCCTCCGGGATGGGCATCTGCCAACTGCCCTTGGACATCTCCCAGGCTCCACGCCGAGCCCCACGGCAGCCCTCCAGCTCCCTGGCATGGCACTCAGGCTTTGGGGAGGGCATTACCAACCGAGTCACGCCGAGGGAGGATCCAACCCCTCAAGTCACCCTCCCAAAGTGTAAAGGAACACCTTGCCCCTCCCCACGGTTGGGACATCGCGGTGCTGGAGCAGAGCTCAGCCTCGAGCCCACGTGGGCGGGAGCCAGCCCGGCTGTGCAAGAGTTAAACCCGGCTGCTCGCCCGTGTCTCAGGGGCCTCCCACTCCTCGCAGAGTATGAATAGCTGCGCTCCCCTCTGCTCTCAGCCACTCACTTCCCTCCCTGCCCTCCCTCTCCTCCAGAGCCTCGGCATCCCCGACATCCTCCTCCCCTGCGTCTTCCTCTGGCAGTGCCGGCTCCAGAGCCCCGGTACCCTCCGGCAGCGCCGATGCTGAGCACGGAAAGTTTCACAGGGGCAAGAGCCCTGGGAGAGGAGTCGCTACAGATGTGGGACCTCAACAAGCGGCTGGAGGCATATCTGGCCCGCGTGAAGTTCCTGGAGGAGGAGAACGAGGTGCTGCGAGCTGAAATCCAGAGCGCCAAGGGCAGCCCGGCCGGGGACTCGTGGCGGGTGAAGTACGAGGAGGAGCTGCGAGCCCTGCGGGATGCGCTGGATCATGCCTTCAGGGAGAAGTGCATGGCCGAGCTGGCCAGGGACAACCTCTACGAGGAGGTCCAGCAGGTGAAAAGCAGGTGCCAGAAGGAGCAGGCAGCCCGAGAAGAGGCCAAGAAGCAGCTGTCCTTGAGCAGGAAGGAGCTGGAGGAGGAGAGGAGAGCGCAAATCTGGCTGAAGGAGAGAGCCGTGCAGCTGGAGAAGGAGGTGGAAGCCTTGCTGGAGGTGCACGAGGAGGAGAAAGCGGGGCTGGACCAGGAGATCGCGAGCTACTCCCAGAGCCTGGAGAGCTTCCGCTGTGCACCGGTGGCTTTCCAGCCCGTGGAGGTGGAGGACTATTCCAAGAGGCTCTCAGAGATCTGGAAAGGGGCAGTGGAGACCTACAAGACGGAGGTGTCGCAGCTGGAGGGCTCCCTCTGCCAGGCCAAGGAGAACCTGTGGAAAGCAGTGGAGGACAACCATCAGAGCCAGCTGCAGCTGCAGCACCTGGAGAAGGACCTGGCGGGGCTCAAAGTGCGGAAGGAGATGCTGGAGGAGAGCCTGGCCCAGCAGTGGCAGGAGCAGCGTGGGGAGGCAGAGAAGTTCCAGGTGAGTGAGGGCGGTGGGGAGGTGCTGGGATCCTGGGGAAGGGGAGAATGGGAGGCTGTGGGTGCCTGGGAGGGGCCTCAGGGCACACCCCTCTTCAGCAAAGGGATGGGGGAGACAGGTGGGAGAAGGGAAGATGGGGGGAGGAAACCCCAGGGCAGGGGTGGACGGTGGCCCTGGAGGAGCTGCAGAGGGAGATGAAGCTGAGGAGGGTGGGAGATAGAGCAGAGCAGCTTGGGGACATCCCTGTCCCCATCACAAGAGGGACCTGGGCCCCCCACACTGCAGGAAAGCAGCACCCAGAGACCTCCCCCAACACCTGCCCGAGGTCACTGCTCCATGTCCTGCTGGGCTCCAGGGTCAGGGTTCCTGGGGAAGGGCAGCCCCTGCCCGTGGCCCCCTGGCACAGGGTGCAGGCAGTGGGGTGCAGGCAGCGGGGTGCAAGCAGCGGGGGGCAGGCAACAGGGAGGGGGGTTGTGGGCAGGATAAACTCCGACCGACTTTGCTGCAGCTGCAACTCAACAGCTGCAAAAGTGATTCAGAGGAGGGAGGTGGAGGCAGGGGGGGCTGGGAATGCAGGAACGGCATGAACGCTGCCCGGGGAAGGGTCTCTCTTTGTTCCAGGTCCTGGGACCAGCCATGGGTGTCGTGGGGCAGAGGGTGCTGCACCCTCGGCTGCTCGCCCGAAAGTTTCTTCTTTCCCATGCTGGCACCCCACAGTCCCAAATCCCCCCCGGCCTTTCCTCCCTCCTCCGGCAGCTGTGTCCCCGTCCCCTTTCAGCCCTGCTCCTCTCCTCGCCCCATCCTCAGCGTCCCCCTGCTAAAATCCAGTCCCCAGGACTCCTCTCCCTGCAGCATCCTGAGGGGACAAGCCACCTGCCTGGTCCCAGGTGGGCAGGGACTGGCAGGGCTCAGGTGAATCTGAGGCTCCCCTGACCCCCTGTGCTGCCCACAGCTGGCGATGGAGGCCCTGGAGCAGGAGCAGCAGAGCCTGCGGGTGCAGATCGCCCGGGTGCTGGAGGACAGGCAGCAGCTCATGCACCTCAAGATGTCCCTCAGCCTGGAAGTGGCGACCTACAGGTGAGGCTCCCGATGGGAATGGGGCCGGGGAGCTCCCTCAACACGCAGGGAGCTGGGGCCGAACCTCGGTGGGCACAGGAGGGTCTCGGGCACAAGGGAGGTCTCGGTAGGGGCAGCCCTGTGCCCCTTGTGCAGCCCTTCCAGATGGCCCCACACAAAGGCCGCCTGCCAGGGACTGGGGGGACAATTAGCATGAGAATAGGGGCTGTCCCAGCCCAGGCGAGGGGCCTCCCCGGCAGAGCATGATGTCACCCTGCGAGTACACTAATCCCGGGCACGGGGGGATGGGAGGGGAGACAGGAGCGATGGGGGCTCCTCCAGTGCCCCCATCCCCTCACCGAGCCGTGACAGGGCAGCACAACCATTTGCAGCCCCTTCGTGCCTCAGTTTACCTACTCCCTCACCTGCCGTAGCCCAGCGGGGTGAGCTGGGGGTGCACAGGGAGCACCCACCCACCCTGTAGCACCCACCACTCTCCCCTCCTCGCAGGACGCTGCTGGAAGCGGAGAGCACCCGCCTGCAAATGCCAGCTGGGGAATTCAGACTGGTCAACGGCGTGCGAGGTAAGGGACCCCCAGCGCCAGCCCCTGCACCGCCACTGTGTCACCCTGGGGCGGGGCTCGGGGGCTGAGGCTGGATATGGACACATTTTCCTGCATTTCCTGGCAGCGGTTTCCTGGCTGCGATAGGAAGGTGTGAACAGCGGCCGGGGGGCTCCTGGCACGGGGCTCTCAGCCCAGATAAGGTTTATCTGCTGCTTTGCCTCTTTTTTTAATGCCTGCCCTGCCCGGGCAGGGCAGGAGCGGATCCGCCCAGCTGGACAACGGGCTGCGGTAACAAGCCGAGCATTTCCTTTTTCCTCCAAAAAAAATAACAAGGAAAGCCTCCCACCTGCACACTTTCCCCAGCAGCAGGACCCGACTGTGGGCTGCAGCCGGGACAGCGCATTGTCCCGGCCCGATGCCAAATCCCCTGGGAACATCAGCATCCGCTGCACTCAAGAGGGAGGAATTTCCCACTTTCCATGAAGGGGTTGTTTAAAAATAGGAGAGGGGGCAGCGAGAGGCTGCCAGGCGGCAGGGGAGGGCTGAGGGAGCCATGGAGCAGCTTCTGGAGCCGCTCACCGCTCCAACTCCCTCTTTGCAGATCTCAAACTGGAGGTGAGCAGCGGCAGCAAACTGGTACCAGCAAGCCCTGAGCCCAGGCGGCTGCTGCCCCGGGACCACGGCGCCAACCCCTCTGTCTTCCCCAGGGCAGAGGGGAGGGGCCAGCCAGCAAAACCTCAGAGCGACGCCCTGACACCCAAAAGCCGGAGCCCCGATGCCAGGGAGCTCCAGAAAATCAGCTCAGTCCTCCACGGCACAGCTGCTGGCAGGGCTGGGCGTCCGGGTGCCCCCGGGTGCCCCACACCGAGCCCCTCCCAAGCTGCCCCTCCTCTCTCCCCAGAGCCCCCCAGCCCCTCCCCACCGGAGCCGGGGAGCCCAGGGGGAGAGGGTCCCGCCTGGCCGGGGGGAGCCGGGGGGGTGACGAGCCAAGGGCTGGAGCATCCCCTGCCCGGAGCCACGACAGAGAGCCCCGAGGACGGTGTGAAGGCCCCCGGAACGGCGCCCACCCGCAGCCTGCAGTACCCGGCCCAGCTGGTCAGCCACGCCCTGGAGGACGCGCTCAAGGAAGTGGAAGATGATGCTCAGCCCGAGGAAGAGCCCACCCTCAGCGCCGCGTGGGCCCCCCAGGATGCCCGTGCCCCCAGCCCCGTTTTCCCCACAGAGGCTTGTGGAGGGGCTGTGGCAGAGGGGACAGGGGAAGGGCAAGACCCCTCCGAGGGCTCTGGGGACGGTGATGGCCCCGAAGTGGAGGAGAGGGCTGGGGAAGCCGAGCTCCAGGGGCTGGGTGTGGAGAGCAGCATCCTGGGGGACAGAGCCACGTCCCCGCTGGGCACGGCCCTGAGTGACACAGTGAGACGGGAAGAGATGGGAGCGTGGGAGGAGGAGGAGGTGCCTGCTGTGCTGAGCCCAAGGGATCCAGAGGCAGAGGTCCAGGAAGAGGATGTGAGTGGTCCTGGACAGACAGAGACCAGCTGGGAAAAACCAGGGCAAGAGGAGGATGGGGAAGAGACCCCAAGCACGGAGCCATCACAACCCTCAGAAGATGAGGAGGAGAGGGAACCCCACAGTTCCTGTCAGGAGGACGGAGATTTCCATGGAGAAGGAGGGGATGAGCCAAAAGAGGAGTCCCCAGACGGGGAAGTGGAAGCTGTTTGTGCTGTCCTTGTGGAAAGCCACCTGGTTTCACCCACAAAGAGTCACCTGGAAGAGGATTTTGTTGATGCAGAGCAGGAAAAGTCTGAGCATCAGAAAATGATTGTGTGTGAGACAGAGGCTGCAGAGCAGGAAAGGGGACAGGAGCTGTGCCCAGAGCAGGAGCCCTTGACTGTCCATGAGGCCATCCCAGCAGAGGAGGCTTCATCAGGAGCTGAAGAAGATGCTGTGGGAGGGGAGGACACAGGCAGAGTGAAAGATGGTGAGGGAGAAGAGGGAGAGGCCAGCAGGGAGATGCTGGGAGGAGAGGACCCTGGGGCAGGAGAAGACCTTGAAGCAGGAGAGGATCCTGGGGTAGGAGAGGATCCTGGGGCAGGAGAAGACCTTGAGGCAGGAGAGGACCCCAAGGCAGGAGAGGACCCCAGGGTGGGAGAGGACCCTGAGGCAGGAGAGGATCCCAGGAAAGGAGAGGATCCTGGGACAGAAGAGGATCCCGAGGCAGGAGAGACTGCAGGAGGTGACACCCTGGGGTGGGAGAGCAGAGCCCCAGAGGAGCCCGAGGATGTGCAGGAAGCCAGAGCTTCTGTGGAAGAGGGTGGGGAACAGGAGCTGGAGCTGGAAGAGGAGCCCCAGGGCAAGGGGGATGATGGCAATGGCCAAGAGCCCTGTCCAGGGGACTGGGAGGTGACAGCAGAGGACACAGAGGGGGCTTTGGGCACAGAAGAGTCATCCTGGGCTGATGACACTCCATCCAGCACAGGAAGGCTGGAAAGTGAGGAGAGAGATGGCACATCGCCAGCAGAGCTGGAGGAAGCCCAGGAAGACGATGAAGAAGATGCCAAGAGCCAGGGGATGAGCCAGCAGCAACCACTGCCAGAGGCTGAGCCAGCACCGGAGCTGGCAAGGGAGGAGCAGGAGGGCACTGCAGGGCAGCCTGACCCAGCCACCCCACATGCCCCTGGGCGAGGGGACAGCCAGGAGCCGGCCGAGGCTCCGGAGGAGGTGCAGGGTGAGGATGCTGAAGAGGGGCTCGGCTCAGAGCTGGGGCAGCCAGAGAGCAGCAGCTCCGGCCTCGAGGCACTGCAGGAGGTGTCGGGTGAGGGCACAGAGAGCAGTGAGTGGGCAGAGGAGGATTTCGGGAGATCGGGAGACTCGGAGCCAATCCCAGGCACCGGCAGGAGGGTGGAGCTGGAGGACACCCTGCCGGACAGCACACCCTTGCACCTCTACGAGGGGGAGATGCTGGCTGGGGGTGCACCCAGCCAAACCCCCCCAGAGACTGAGGAGACCACGGAGACAGACCCTGTGACCGAAACAGCTCTGGAGGGGGAAGAGTGGCTGGAAGGGAGGGACAAGCCACTGACTCCCACCATGCCAGAGAGCCCTGAAGAAGAGGCAGAGGCAGAGGTGGCCCCTGTGGCAGAGGGTGCTGAGGAGGAGGAAGGATATTTCATGGTCTCTGCTCCCAGCCAAGAGGTGTCCAGCTCAGAGGAAGCTGAGATCTCTGAGGACTTTGAAGAAATTAAAGTGGAAGCAACTGAAGGCAGCCAAGGTGACCTGGGAGCTCCCAGAGAAGCATCTCCAGTGCCAGAGGGCAAAGGGCACCTCCAGACTTTTGTTGGGGAAGCCCGTAGAAGAACCTGAGAAGCCACAGGGTGAGGAAGAGGATGGCACTGCTGAGCTAGAGGAAGGCCCAGCTATGCCTGAAGCAGATCCCANATTAAAGTGGAAGCAACTGAAGGCAGCCAAGGTGACCTGGGAGCTCCCAGAGAAGCATCTCCAGTGCCAGAGGGCAAAGGGCACCTCCAGACTTTACATGGAGATGCCCGTAGAAGAACCTGAGAAGCCACAGGGTGAGGAAGAGGATGGCACTGCTGAGCTAGAGGAAGGCCCAGCTATGCCTGAAGCAGATCCCAGCAGCCCCGGGGCCATGGGACCATTAACAGGAGGCACTGACCAGCCAACCCAGGGTGCCACAGGCACCGGAGCACGGGAGGGACCCGACCACTCTGAGGGTTTGGCTGCCGAAGGGGATGAGGAGCTCCATGGCACAGTGGAGCTGGAGAGCGATGCCAGTGGAGCCACAGCACTCCCAGGCTGCAGCCTGGGGCTGGTGGGGCAGGAGGAGGAGGTGGATGAGGATGAGGATGAGCCTGGCATGGCTCACCCTGACACGGCCAAGGCCACCCCTCCAGCAGAGCTCCAGGCCCAGGCAGTGCCGGAGCAGGCGGAGCAGGCGGAGCAGCCGTCGGAGCAGCCGTCGGATGAGCAGCCGCCCGTGGAGGAGGAAGCACCAGACAGTGACAGCCCTCCCTCAGCAGGGGATGAGCAGCCCCCTGAGGCCGACCCACCCCGGCCGGGCTCTGCACTGGAGCAGAGAGGTTTTCCAGAGGTGATTACAGACATCCCTGACACAGCTCTTCTCCCGGCAAAGGTGCCCGTGGATGTCATGAAGGACTCCGATATTTTGGAAATAGTTGAGCAGGCTCTGGAGTTCAACCAGGAGCTGGTGATGGGGGTGAGGGCGGCCGAGGGAGGGCAGCAGGGCCCTGGCAGGACCGAGCTCCCCCAGGATGCTGGGGAAGACTCCTCACCGGCCTCGTCCAGCGAGGAGGAGCCAACGGTGCAGGAGGCGCCGGAGCCGGAGGGTCGGGTTCAGGCTGCGAACGGGCTGCACCGGGAGGCCAGTTTGGAGGACCTGGCCGAGTTCACCGAGGAGGTGCTGAACGGCATTGCCAGCATGGCCCCGGCACAGGAGTTCCCCTCGGGGACCGCAGACCCCTCCGTGGGGATGCCAGTGCAGCCCCCCCCTCCCAGAGACACCAAGCTGGGGGATGGCACCCCATGGGGCAAACACGGCAGAGCCGACCCCGTGCCCCCCGCTCTGGGGGAGGATGTCCTGTGCCTCACACCCGACCAGCCACCAGCGTGTCGCCTGAGAGCCGAGCAGGAGCCCTGGTCCTCGGGGGACGAGTGACAGGGGTGGGGGGACCCCCCCGGTAGCCCCTTCCCTGCCATGACCCAGCACCCTCCACTTCCCCCCCCTCCTAATGCTTCCCCACCTCCTTTTGGTTTTTAACATGTTTGTGTGGATTTTTTGCACCCCTTTTCAGAGTGAAGAACCACCAAGCTCTGTTCCACCCCACAGCCTCCCCCTCCCCAAAAAAATTCGCATGCTTGCTTTGGGACCCCCACCTCATTTTGAGTCTCCTCTGGGTGGGTTGTCATTGGCAGTATTTAATTTAAACTCTGTGTTTCCCCCTTCCCTGCAATCTCCTCTCCTTCTGCCCCCCCAGCATCTGCCCTAGGAAGGCCAGCTGGAGGCTGGGGACCCCCACATGCTGCACCCCAGGACTCAGTACCTCGGGGTGATGTCACCCCGGGGTCCCCAGCCCTGACTCTCCGACAAGGGGGCTGAGCCAAGCTGGATGTTTCCGCTGCCTTGACGTTAATTTAATAAAGCCTCATCCTCCCACTCAGGGCTCCAGCTCTCCTCACTCTGGGGGGATGGGAGGGGAGGGGACAGCAGCCCTGGGGCGGGGGAGAGCACGGTTTGGGGTGGGGGCTGCACTTCCAGGTTGCTTTCTGCTAGGAAATCGCACCTGGGGCCATCCATCAGCATGGCTGGGGACAGTGTCCCCGGGATGATGCTCCCCCATGCCTGGGACAGTGCGTGCCCCATCAGTCAGCACGGGCTGGGAACAGGGGTCCCGGGATGATGCTCCCCCCCCTCCGAGACAATGCGCATCCCTGGGGCACCGCGGCCCCATTCTTAGGGTGACGCAGCCCCCTGGGCACGCCATGCCCCCCCCACGTGGAGTGATGCTCCCCCACTCCCGTGGGGCTGCAGCCCCATCCCCGAGGTGATGTTTCCCCACCCCCAAAGAGGTGCAGCCCCCCGGGGTGATGCTCCCCCATCCCCGGAGCAATGGAGTCCCCCAGCGTGATGCTCCCCCACCCCCGGACAGATGCGGCCCCCCGAGGTGATGGTCCCCCGCCCCCGGGCCCCGCAGATGCCACTCGGGGCTCGCTGCTGGCCAAGCACTTCCCCAACCTCCGCCTGGGCTGCCGGCAGGAATGGGGCGGGACGCCAGCCCACCCTGTGCCCGTGCCAGCGCCCGGAGCCAGGAGCCAACAGCCCCGGCCGCTGTTCCTGCCCGGCCTGGGCAGGATGCCCACGGGACAGCCCGCGGCTCCCGGGAGCTGCGGGAACCCCGGAACCACGGTGGGGACCCCGGCAGATGATCCTTGGCCCCCTCACCCAAAGAGTGTTGGGCTTCAGGGGGGGCTGTGAGAGGAGCCGGGGCCTCAACCAGCCCGCTGTGCAGCCGGGCGTGGGGACGGCGCGGGAAGAGCCGCATAAATGAGGCTCCGGCCGAAGAATGGGCTCCTTTATGCCGGGCAAAGGGCTGAGTCACCCCAGCCGAGGGGACGAGGGGACCCGGGTGGCCACGGCATCCCTGGGGATCGCCGGCCTCGCACCCACGGGTGTGTTCAGCACCGCTCCCGCCTGGCTGGCCCCGCCGCTTGCCCACGCACCGGATTTAGCCGGTCCCATCCCCGTGCCAGCGCCCAGGGATGCTCAGAGCCAGGGACCGATAAGGAGCCAACACTTATCTGCCTTCCCTCCGTGCAAAGCCCCCGGCCCCCTCCCCTGCCCGGAGGCGACAGTTTCCTTTTAAGGTTAAACTCCAACGGATCCAAACACCGAAATAAAAAATATCCCCCTCCGATGAGTTTAATCAGGCGCCGAGCCTGCGTTCAATCAGCCCCCGGGCCGACACACCCTCCGGGCGTCTGGGCAGCATCAGCCCGGCAGCAGCTCCAGCAGCCGCCCCCCCCCCCGAGCCTCCCAGTGCCCCCCGAGGGGTCCCCAAAGCCGGGGGTCTCTGGGCCGGGAGGAGGGTGGAGGATGCTGTGCAGGAGATGGGGATGGTGCGGGGCGAGGCTTCGCCAGGCAGGGGGTGACATTCCTCCCGAAATTAATCCACATTCCAGCCGGTGCTGACAGAGTGATGAGGGGGGACAGATGGTGGGGGGAGGGGGAGCCCCTTCCTCCCCGCGAGGAGAAGAAGGAGGGGGAGGAGGAGAAGAAGGAGGGGGAGGAGAATGGGGTGAAGTGCCGAGGTCTGGGAGTCACCCTGGGGGTGGGGGTGGCCCCTGGAGCCTTTGGAGCCTCCCGGGGCTGGAGCCTGGAGAGCAAAACCCCAGCGAGGTTCATCCACACCCGGCAAGTGCCTGAGGGAGTGAGCAGGGACGGGAAAAGAGTGTCCCTGGTGGGACCGAGTGTGACCTTGATGGGACCAAGTGTGTCCCCGACAGGACTGTGTGTCCTTGGTGGGATCACGTGTGTCCCGACGGGACCTAGTGTGTCCCTGATGGGACTGTGTCCCCAGTGGGATCAAGTGTGTCCCCAGTAGGATCAAGTGTGTCCCCAGTGGGACTGAGTGTGTCCCAGACGGGAACAAATGGGACTGACCATGTCCTCAGTGGGATCGAGTGTGTCCCCCGTGGGACCAGGAGCACCCCTAAGCACTGACTGTGACCCCAGTGGGACCAAGCGTGACCCTGGTTGGACCAAACATGATGCCAGGGGGACCCGAGTGTGCCCGGGTTCCCCCACTGTGGCTGCAGCTCGGACACCCCCCAGGCACACCCACACCTTCCCTGGAAGACCAAACTGCCACATGAGCAGCACCCACCGTCCCATCCCCCGAGGGCACACAGTGTGACTTTGGGGGCTGGAAAGAGAAAGGGAGGTGCCAACCCCACCTTGAACCCTGCTCCACGCCCAGGCAGGAGCACCATGGGGGGTGCAGGGGGTCTTGGGGGCTGCAGCTATGGGGGAGCTGCCAGGGACTGGCCAGGCTGGAGCTTTAAGAGCCCCTGGAGTCCTTCATACCCTTCTGCAGCCCCCAGCAACCCCCGCAGCCCCCCGCAGCCCCCCCCCCAGCTCCTGCAGCCCCCTGCAGCCTGGCCCCCCGCCAGCCAGGGAAGGGTTTTGTTTCCTCCCAGGCTGGGTGAGGGGGATTTCAATGGAGCCCGCACAAAAACTCCCTGTGGGGTGAGCCCGCGCCGGACAGGGAGGGGGGGACGAGGTGGGATGACCTCAGCGATGACTTCATTCCGCTCTCAGCTCCCAAAATTCATGGGAACCTTATAAGGAAAGGACTAAAAATACAGCCAGAGGGGCGCGGGCAGCCCCCGCTCCCCCTCCCCAAAATAAGCCCTTGGGGATGCTAAATGTGGGCAAGTAGGGGCCACGCTGGGGCTACCGGTGGCCTGGGGCTGTTCCCAAGGGGGATGCACGGTGGGGACAATCGATAGGGTCCCCAAAACCCCCACGGGAGGGGCGGGACGGCCCCCCACGCCAGAGCAGAGCAAGGATGTGGGCAGTGGGCGTCCCCCCAGGGAGGCATTGCCACCCCCCCGCAGCACCGTCCCGTCCTGTGACATCCCCAGGGACATGCCGGGGGCGGGGGGGTGGCTCGGGGGTGGCTCGACTACTCTCTCACCCGCCCTTCACCCGGGTCAGACCCCCAGGAATAGCTCTGGGCTATAATCAGCTCTGCCCCGGTTTGGGGGGCTCGCCCAGCTGCCGGGTCGCGACCCCTCAGCAGTGCCCGTGCCCCAGCGCTGCGACAGCTGCTGCCAACCCGGGGCGGCGCGGATTCCTGAGGCAGAGCCCAGGGGCAATCCCGCCGGGAATGTGTGCCTGGGGCCGTCCGTCAGGATGCGGTCCCTGGGGCAGTGCTCCCCCCACCCGCGGGGGGATGAATCCCTCTGGGGCAATGCTTCCAAATCCCTGGGGGTTTGTCCCCCCATCCTTGGGATGATGCCCCCCAGTCCCTGGGGGTTTGTCCCCACATCCTTGGGATGATGTCCCCCAATCCCTGGGGTTTGTCCCCCCATCCGTGGGATAATGCCCCCCAATCCCTGGGGCGATGTTCCCCAACCCCTGCGTTGATCCCCCCTCATCCCCGGGTCGATGTTCCCTCAGTTCCACACTCCCAGCCCATCCCAGAGCTGACCTCCATCCCCTCACCATCACCTGCTCAGAATGCTTGGGAGAAGCCAAGGGAGACAGGGCACGTGGGCACGGGCTGTGGGGCAGGAGGGGCCGGGAAAGGGCTCTGGCTGGGAAGCAGCCCGGCCAACACCCCCACGCCCGTGCCAGCGCCGTGCCTCAGCTTCCCTCCTCACCCCGCCTGCCACGGGCGGCCACAGGCGGGAAGGGGATGAGCCAACGACGGGGAGCTGCCTCAGAGCACTCCCTCCCCAGTTTTGGGACACCCACCTGCACCCCAGCAGGAACGGGAGGTGACCCAGCCCTGGAAGCAGCTCCTCCCGGTGGCACGGCCGGACCCTGGAGCGCGGGTGGCACCGGGACAAACCGGGCTGTGCCCCCCCGCCAGACCCAACCCCTGCAGCCAAACCTGAGCCCGGGATCCAGCCCCGGTGCCCATGGGAGGTTTGGGGCGCTGTGCCAGGCCAGGGGCACGCGGGTGAGGGGGACAGGATGTGACCGTGGCCAGTCCTGAGTCACCGCCAGTCACCGGATCCGGCCCGGGAAGGGACAGGAAGGTCCCTTGGCTCCAGCACTCCTTGTCCCAAACAGCTTCCACAGGGGGGCACAGGACCCCATTCCTGGTTTGGGAACTGTGTGCCCAGCTGGGGACCCCAATCCCAGTTTGGGGACTGTGTGCCCAGTTGGGGACCCCAATCCCAGTTTGGGGACTGTGTGCCCAGTTTGGGGACCCCAATCCCAGTTTGGGGACTGTGTACCCAGTTTGGGGATCCCAATCCCAGTTTGGGGACTGTGTACCCAGTTTGGGGATCCCACTCCCCCTTTGGGTAGCCTTTTTCCAGTTTGGGGACTGCGTGGCCAGTTTGGGACCCCAATCCCCATTCGGGTACCTCTTTCCCAGTCTGGGGACTCCATTCCCAGTTTGGGAACCATGTGCCCAGTTTGAGGGC